GCCCCCCAGGCCCCCTCCGCTTCACGTCTGATCCGCAGGGGCCGAGTTACCGCGTGGGGGGGAGTAGAGTTAAGATCAACGTGGCCTGCAGGCCACAGGCCCACTTCGCAGTTAAGCCCCCTCAAGCCTGCCGTCTGCTCACCACCTCAAGGAATTCCAGGCCAACGTCGGGCTGCAGGAATCGCCAGAAAGCCACGCTTCTGGCCTCCACACCTCAGGACAGTGACGGGAAGCAAGGTCGGAGCTGGAGCTGCGAGGCGGCCGGATGAGGGACAGGAGGTCCCGTGCTGGGCGCCTGCCATATTCGGTACCGGGAGGCGATGCGCAGTCCCTGGACCTCCGTGGGTTCCCCTGAGCACTGGCTCCGTGTCCAGGCTGCTGTCATCTTGCAGAGGGTCAGAGTACACGTGTGGGGTTTTGACTGAAAAGGTCAGGCGTTCCCAGTGTGGGGACATGGTTGTGAGCTGACATCACTGGTGCAGTAACTGGAATTAATCGTTGATCCCCAAACACTGACCATTTACTGTCCTTCCACCCTGTCGCCATGGTCAGAAGCCTGAAGAGGTAACTGGAAAGCCAAGTCGAATGCCTACAGGAAGAAGGTATTTTATGGAAACGCTGATCCAAGCAGACCCGGGTCAGAAACACTTAGTTCCTCAAGAAAGTCCGACACGGGCTGTATTCGTAACGCGGCAACTACGCCAAGTTTGAAATACGTGCCCCGGGATCCCTTGCGTAACGTTGGGTTAGTAAGAACCACATGATCTTGTGTGAGATTTGGAAACAGCGCAGCAGCCCCATCCTTCATGTATCTGGGGGTCAGTGGGGAGAGGGTGAAGCGCCTGGCACGCAGGGAGCGCTCGGCGGTCTGACCCGTCTTCGCCTGTGGCTGCAGGACAGCGTTTCTTACGCACTGTTCTCCGCAGCTGGCACCTACCCTACTCCTGCGGCAGGTCACTGAAGATTTCACTCCTCGCTCTGGAACATGTTCAAAGGGCCGGGTCCCTCCACGCACGGCTATTGAAGTGTCTGCAAAATGAGCTGCGTACGGAGGAAAACCTTTTGCCTTTTCGCATGCGAACCAGGTTCCAAGGTTGGGGCTGGCAAGGATCTGGCACCTGCCAGGGGTGGGGAAAGTCCGACTGGGGGCCTAGGTCTGGCCCTGCTGAGGAAACGGCAGGCGGGGCTCGAAATTCAGTAAATCTAGGAGCTTTTTTCACAGCTAATTTTTAAGGAGGTAATTTTGTAGGGCCCACGAATTATAAATACCCAAATGGCCGTTGGCAGAAAAAAGGTTCCCCACCCCTGATCTAGAGACAAGGATCTGAGAAAACAAGAAGCCAAACGCGCAAGTTCCTTATCTCAACCTGGAGCATGGGGTTGAAAAGCGCAACACGCCTGCCCTTGGGGTGCTGGTGGTGCCCACACAGCTTTCACTCAAGCAGAACGTGCGGCCCACGCTCTGTGCCGTTTCAGTTCCACCCAGCGCTGAGACTTTGAGGGACCACCACCATCCCATCCCACAGGCCAAGAGATCCACGCTTCAGGCTAGAGAAGGGCCCATCTGGGGTTGTATGAGGGCATCAGGTGCCCTGCACGGCCCAGGGGCAGACGCCTTACCGCTGGGTCTTCACCCTTATGACCAAAGTCCTCGGGGATCCCTGTATTACGGACCCCGCTCCACTTTTGCATCTACGGGAAGCAGCGGGCTCCAGCAGGACGCTTCTTCGGAGCTACATTCAGTGACGGCCCTTTCTGTCGTGTATCATTAAGGTCACACATGAATTATGTGCGGTTATAGGTCGAGAGAAATGACGCTAATGTAGCAGCATCAAAATTATTGTTCCTTCTCTGTATCTTCTTCCTACCTCCCCCGAAACATCAGAAAGTCTGAGAGAAATCTGAGGCCGCCCCGCGGGTCCCCCCAAACATCTGCAAGCCATCAGAGGATGTCCTTTCCTGTACAGCTCGCCAGTCGTTGCTATCNAAACATCTGCAAGCCATCAGAGGATGTCCTTTCCTGTACAGCTCGCCAGTCGTTACTATCCACACACCTACGCAGCCAACGAGGGACCGAACGTCAGCTGGGGGGGCGGGGATTCTGAATTTGGGGATTTTGACCGAACTCAAACCCAATGCATTTGCCACCAATGTCGGTGCCAGTCTCCCACACGTTTTAACGCGCATATTAAGAGGGGTCCCGTGTTGCTAGAGAGACCAAACGGGTGTGAGCAAAGCTCTCCACCGATACTCCCCACGCTCTGGAGCCTGGAGCAGGCTGCCCCGGGTTACCCAGGCCACCAGTGTACAGCCAGAAGCTTTCTCTGGCTCGCCTCGGGCTCCCCAGCGCCATTGTTACTTGCTTCGGAAAGATGTGGAAACAAAGGGAACTGTGTCATCACTAAACAACTTAGTGGCCAGAGGGGAGGACTCAGATCCAGAGACAAGCAGGGAATTCAGAGGAGACAGCGCCTGGAGCCCGCACCGACCTGGCCTTCTGTAGGCCTCGGTGGCGCCCCCGGAGAGGTGGCCCTGCCCCTGCCCCTCGCCCCCTTTTGTGGCGTGTGAGTGACTCACAGCATGTGGCCTCTTCTCCCGAAGCCTTCGGAGTGTGTAACCGTGAGCATCGGAGGAAAGCCGCTGCTTACGAGAGGCGGGCCCAGCGCAGAGCATCGCCTGGCGCAGGCTGGCGTCTCTGTCACATATTTATTCAAGGGCAAGTGAAATCTCTTCATTTCCCAAATGAACCCAACTGACAATCACTTAAAACGGTGGAATCCCCACTGGGAAATGAAACAACAAACCCTCTTGTTTCTGGTTATTTGGTTCGTTTGAACAAAGACGCACCATCCGCGGCCTCAGCCCGAGGCCGATCCCGCGCCGTGCGTCGCGGCGAGGGCAGGTCAGCACTGTCCTTGCAAGTTCCTGTCTCATTTCTACGTGGGCCCCACTGTAGTTTTCCAACCCAAATCTTTCCTGCAGGCTGTTTAAGCAAAACCAAGAACAATGTGAAATCACATTTTTCGTGTTTAAGGAACATAGAAAAAGTGCATCTGAATGGTTTTTAAAAAATGTTTTTAACTCATCCCCCTCCATACGCAGCCTAGAAGACGGTCCTCAAAGGCACCTGCCGGTGTCCGGAGAGCCTGGCTGAGGTCACTGGATTCCATACAAGAACCTGTTTCCTTTGTCCAGCGGCGACGGGCACCTGCTGCGTTTGCTCAGGCCCGCTCGCTCTCCTCCACACTCCTCCTGTTCCCCCGGTGACACGTACACGCGCGGGAGACAGTCGCAGGGCTCATCTGGTTTTAAATACTTTTTTGTTTGTTACCTGCAAAAAGTTAACTGGCCTTTATAGGATCAAATCTCAATCCTGGGTGGAGCCACACTCTGTCTAGTCAACAGAGCTACAAATGCTAAACGTTTAGGCAAGTAAGCAAAACTGACTTTTGCTTTTCATATTTCCCAGGTAAGATTTGGGACTTTTAAAAGAAATCTCTCATGGAAAAAGAAAAAAAAAGCATGAACGAGAACTTAAAGGGATTTTCATTACCTTTAACGGAAAAACACAACTTAATTCCATTTGTTCCATGGAGAAGACAGGTATAAAAGGAAGTGATTGAGATTTAACGTGGGCTCTAACCTAATAATGAAAGTGTTTTGTTAAAAACACCATAAAAATTAAAACCAGGAATTGAAAACGTGAGACGTTGCAGGTTGAAGCGAATGTTCCCTGGGCTGCCAGGTGCGTTCCCAAGGTTTCTTGGGCTGTGGGAACAGGAGGCCAGGCTCCGTCTCGTTTATCCGTAAGGGCTAAAACTCAACCGCGTGCCCAGGTTTAAGGCTTGCCCTACTCAGTGCCCAAGTATTGGAGCTTGTGAGCTGGATTTACCTGCACAGGCAGCTTTTTTCAATTCTTTTCCCCAAACGTCACCAGAACAAAGCAGCTCCCGGCCAAGGAAAAGAAAGCCACGCGCTTCGGCCTGCAGGGAAAGCCCCAACGCTCAAGAGCAACCAACCACTTACTTTTTCAACCCCACAGACTGTTTTAAAAAATTCAGCTACTGCCCTGGCCAATGTGGCTCAGTTGGTTGTGCACAGAAAGGCTGCAGGTTCGTTTCCTGGCCAGGGCACGAACCCAGGTTGTGGGTTGGATCCTCGGTCCATGCACATTCGGGAGGATTGAAAAAAATTTTTTTTTTAAATTCAGCTACTTAATAGTAAAAAGTCAAGGATTTTTTTTGTTTAGTCTTTTTACATGAGAGAGGAGTGTAAATAAGTTCCATAAACCAGTACACAAATGTTTATGAGCCAGTAATTTTAAAAAGACAACCAAAAAAAGCTGCATGGATCCTAAAGGATATGTCGGCTCAGAGGTTCTGTAAGAGCAAGCCTGCCGTTCCTAGGACGGGTTAGCGCGGAGCCGGGTAGGGGCGGCCCTGTGCTCACCGAGGAGCAGAGGAAGGCGGGCAGGCACGATTCTCATCACTCTTCACATTTCAGCCTCAGAACTCTGTCCCAAGCAGCCGATGCTGGTGCAGAAGCTCCCTCCGCTCAGTCACTGCTGAAGTGTTTGGGGAGGGGCAGGATTCCTGCTCGGGGACAGGCTG